GGTGGATGTAGTATGGATATAGCTTCTACATTCAATCTTTTGCGGAGCGACATTGTAACTTCATGTCAAACTCGGAGCCATGGAAAGCTATCTTTGTCGCGCTCCGATTTATCTGGAATGTCTCCTTTGGCAGGTGGATGTAGAATAGATATAGCTTCTACATTCAATCTTTTGCGGAGCGAGATATGTAGGGCATATCTAGGGCCAGGGGACCCGGAATGTACGACCGTGGGACCGGCGAGGGACCTAATTTATGTGCCTTCCGGTCCCCAGCCCATTCGAGCTCACATAAGCACCAAAAACTCAAGTACTCGCAATTTCTACGAGTGTGATAAGTGAGATGTTTAACGAAGAACATATTGACAAAGAATTGTGCCTTTACGTTCGCGTTTAGGCACAGGTCTGACTTTGGATGAGAGCAGGACACTTTGTCAAATTCCTTGTAGGTCATTGTATTAGACTCGGTTGATATAAGAGTGTTTCACGCAAGTATGGGTACTAGCGAAAGGTAACCGCTTCGATGGCAGCGAGCACGATTGCGGTAACAGATAGAGGAGCAGCTGTGAAGGTCACAAACCCACGTGCGAGGAGAGCGTGAATGGTCAAGCAGCAAAGCCTCAGCAGGTACCAAACGGGTACATGTTTAGCGCAATCACAGAAGGCAGAAGTGTGGCGCCTCTCGTGCGGCTTTCGCTTAGTTCGGTTCGCAGTCTTCTGTGTCCGCTGTGTTGCCTAGCCAGGGGCTGGGACAGCGCCCCGGTTGGCGTGAGTGAGGGGGTGAGGCGAGCGCGGCGGAACAGACGGACGTAGAGCCACGCGCCCGCCCGCCCCTGTGTTTCGGCCCGGTCATAGCCCCCGGTGCTTGTCCTCTCTCGGGACGAGCCGCCCACAGTGTAACACCCCATCAGAAGCAGCGGCAGCTGGACAGAGCTCCCTGCCTCACGAGCACACAAAGCAAATCGCCTTGAAGTGGCGGCAGCTGTCATAGGCTGATGATGGGCCGGGGCTGCTGTGTGAATCCCTGGCAGGGCGCGACTTGTGCTGCGTGTGATCTGATGATGGGCCGGGGCTGCTGTGTGAATCCCTGGCAGGGCGCGACTTGCGCTGCGTGTGAAATCCTGCACACCCTACACTACACACATAACGCAATGCCCTCTAAGACCGAGAATTCATGCACTTCTTCACATACACTGAATGAATGAAGGTTACAGTGGACCCCGT